TGTCCTCTTGTCCATTTTGCTTTATCCGTCCTGGCATAGTTTTTTGAATAACTGACTACAAAAATGAGATATCTTTAGATTTTTTTTTTTTCTTCTTTTTTTTTGGTTTTTCTCCGGTACCAGGAACCGAACTCACGACCTTGCACTTGCCAGGCAGGCGCTTTTGCCGCTGAGCTAAATCCCCAGCCCCAAGACTCATTGTTTCTTGTTTTCTCTGGTTGGGTTTTGTGTCCATGATTGAACCAAATGCTATACCTGGAAAGAGAGGATGTGTTTATATCTTTTTTGCCCACTTAGAATCTTCCTCTGGAGCTTATGAGTAGGAGAAGGAAATGTTGTAAGTTAGCATTGATGCTAATTATTCCAACAATGATTAATAGAATGAAAAATGTTTTTTTTACTTAGCTGTTGTACAGAATTGAAAAGTTTGTTAGGGAGCATTCTTTTTGCATTTGAAAGAAGAAATTTTGATTTGGGAAAGAATATTCTTAAATTTTGTAGTGCTTTTTGATGGTGTTTATTTTTCATGCATACAGGTATGTGTGTATGTATGTGTAAATACTTTTCATTATTTTTTACTTAACTGGGTTTGATTTGCTAATGTTTCATTGACTTTTGCTTTTTATAAGGGATATTCTATATGTCTTATACTATCTTTGTCTTATTTTGATATCAAGATAATGCTGGCCTTATAAAATGAGTTGCAAGGTATTCTCTGTGTTTGTTTTTCTGGAACAGATTGGTTAGAGTTAGTTTTATTTTTTTCCTTAAATATTTGACCTCATTGTTTAGTGAAACGATCTTCACCTAGAGAAGTGATTGCAAACCTATGGCACATGTGTCACTGTGGGCTGTTTATGTTATTAAAAACTCCTAAAAGTTTGCCATCACTGAGCTGGGTTTTTTTTTTTGGAAGGTTTTTTTTAGACTACAAATTCAGTTTCCCTAATTGTAAGGACTGTTCAGTTTATCTGTTTGAACTTGGATATGTTTTGGTGTTTGGTTTTTGAAAAGTCGTTTTGTTTTACTTAAGTTGTTAATTGTATGTGAGTAGAGTTGGTTGGTGTACTCTCTTGTTATCATTTAAATGTCTGTGGCAGTTCTTGTGATAATCCCCTTTTATTCTTAATATAAATAATTTATAATTTTTCTTGTCAAATCTACAAGTTTATTGATTTTACTGATCTTTCAAAGAAGCAACTTTTGGTGGTTTCATAAATTTTAAAACTTTTCTTTAATGTTTTCAATTTATTTGATTTCTGCTCTTTATTATTTCTGTCCTTTTGCAAGATTTGAGTTTATTTTCCTCTGTATGTGTGTATGTTTTAATTCTTCTGTTCTTTTAGTGCTGGGGGATTGGACCCAGGGTCTTGTGTGCTAGCCAAGCAGTCTACCACTGACATATATCCTACCACTGAGATATATATACTGAGATATAACTCTTCCTATATTACTGATTTGAGATTGGTACTTAGCACTGCATATTTCCTGCTAAGTGCTGTTTTAGCTTTATCACAGAGATTTTGTTAATACTTTTATCTTTATTCAATATATTTTAAAACTTCCCTTCAGAAAGTTGTTTAATTTTTAAGTATTTAGAGAATTTCCTTTGTCTTTTTGTTGCTGTTTTCTAATTTTAATTCTCTTGTGATCAGAGGATATACGTGGTCTGAATTCTGATAGGACTTAATGTCCAGAATATGCTCTACCTTGGTGAATTTTCCTTTTTTTTGTCTTTTTGAGACAGCGTCTCACTATGTAGTTCAGGCTGGCCTTGAGCTCACTTTGTAGTCCAGGCTGGCCTTGAACTCGCAACAATCCTCTTGCCTCAACTTCACAAGTGCTGGGATTACAGGTGTGCGCCAGTACGCCCAGCGAATTTTCCATTTTGCTTGGAAAAAATATGGGTATTATTGTGTGGAATGTTCTGTTGATTTCAGTTAGACCCTCACTGGTTAATAGAATGTTCAGGTTTTCTCTATTCTAAATTATTTTCTATCTAGTAATTTTGTCAATTATTAAAAGAAGGATGTTGAAGTCCCTCTCACTTTGGATTGTCTTTTACTCTTAATTCTGTCAGTTTTTTTTGCCTTATGCATTTTAAGGTTTTATGGTTTGATGTCTATACATTTGGGATTATTATGTGTCCTTGATAGCACCACTAAAGCCCTAATCCCCAAACCAATAAAGACATTACAGGAAGAGGACTACTGTAGACCCACATACCTCATGAATGTGCACATAAACGCTTCTAACCAAATGTTAGTAAATGTAATTCAGCAGGGAGGTGGTATCAATTGGTTCACAAACTTAAATTGTTCCGTGATTCTAATTGCGAACTATTTGGTTTTGAACTAAACCTAATTTCTCCGTAAGATTCAATGTCATCCAAAGCAGAGTTCGTGAACTGAAGCAAAACTCTGCTGAATGCTTCTGTTTGTGAACTGAATTGTTTGCAAGTAGAGGCATTCGTGAACTGAGGCAGTGTATTACTGTATATAGAGACAGTAACTGTGACTAAATGGGGTTTGTACCAGGTATACATGTGTAGTTTATCTTTTGGAAATTGGTCCGTGTAATTCCAAATGTTGAGGGAATAAAAGAGAACATCATACGATCATTTCAATAGATACAGAAAAAATATTTAACAACACCCAGTGTCCATAGATGAGAAAAACTGTTAGCACACTAGAAGGGAATTTTTTTCAACCTCATAAAGGGAATTTCAAAATAACAAAGGATACAACCACTCACCCTGTCCTGAAATTTGAAAGACTAGACACTTTTCCCTAAGAGTGAGAGTTAGGCAAGGGAATGCCAGATAGATATATTGATATAGATATAGAGATGTATATAAATAAAATTGTATGTGGGTAGCCTAGTACACTAAGGAAGAAAAAAATTAAGATAGGAAAAGAAGAGGGTAAAGCTGTCCTTACGTGTAGTCAGTATGATTGTTCAAAAAGAGAATGCTAAAGAACAGCATACAAAGTATTCAAATGAATAAACAGATCTTCTAAGGTTTTATTGGCAAACATTTCTGTTGCTGGGACCAAAATATCTGATACCTCCAATTCAGGGATGAGAGGTTTATTTTCAGAGGTTTGCTGGCCCCAAGGAAGAAACATTGTGACAGAAGAGCACAGTGGAAGAAAGTTGCTCTAACTCATAGCATCCAAGAATCAAATAGTTAAGAGGAAAAGAAAACCAGACAAGGGGCTAAGGCCTAGACATAGTCCCCAAGGGCTTGTCCCATGACTTATTTCCAAATAGGCTATGGACTCATCAATGGATTGATCCACTTGATGAGATTAGTGCCTCCACAGTCTAGTCTCTTCTTTAGGAGTCTCTTAATTGTCTATCAAGAAACTGACAGAATGGTCATAGGATACAAGTGAACTACACAAAATGAATTGTATTTCTATAGACCAGCAATAAATAGCTAGAAAGGCAGTTTAAAAGTGTCACTCGTGCCAGTATCAACAGATGTGAGCTGTATCAGAGTGAATTTGACTAAATATGTTTAGAACCTATATACTGAAAGCGGTAAGTTGTTACCAATAGAAAGTTAAAAAGATTTAAGTAAACAGAGTCCATGAAGAGACTGAGGGCTGGGAATATAGCTCAGCAGCACAAGCATTTGCCTGGTAAGCACAAGGTCCATGAGGAGACTGAATTGGAATACTAAACACTGGTGAGATAGTAATTCTGTCTAAATTCATAATTCAATTTAACGCAACCCAAGATAAATGGCAATAGGTTTCTGTATAGAAGTTGATAAGCTGGTTCTAAAACTGGTATGAAAATACAAAACACTAAGAATGATCAAAATATGTTTTAAAAAAGAAGGACAAAGTAGAAGAATGTTTAGCCTTTGATTTTAGGGATTAATGTAAAACTACAGTAATATTGACAGTATAGTTTGGTTTCTCTTCAATGTCCTCGTCGTCTTCTTTGTTTTGTAGTGCTGGGGATCAAACTAGTATGGTTTTAACATAAGGACAGGTATAGCCATCAAGGGAAAAGAATGAAGCAGAATTCCACATACCTCCTTAACCAATTTTCAGCAAAGATCCTGAAGTAAGTTAGTTGGAAAAAGGGTAGTTTTTCCAACACATAATACTGGATCAACTGGATATTTATTCATTTGGAAAAATAATGACACTTGACTATTCCTTTAGTGTTGTATATGAAAAGTAATTTGAAAGGGGTTGCAGATCTAAGCATAAAAACTAAAAGTACAAAACTTCCAGTAGGAAACATTTGAGAAAACCTTTGTGACCTTGAGGTAAGCAGGGAATTTTTGGAACACAAAAAGCATCAACTTTAAGAGAAAAAAAAAAAGATATGTTGGATTTACTGAAAACCAAGAATTCTGCTTCCTGAAAGACATTAATAAAATGAAAAAACTCATTTTTATTTTTAGTTCTTTTAATTCTTCTACTTTGTTGCTTAAACTTGTTTTTATTCTTGCTTTCTTAGTAGAATGCTCAATTCAATTATTTTTATTTGTTCACCTTGAATAGTACAAAATTTTAACCATACTTTTCTCCGAGAATCTCTTTAGGTTATGCTCATAATAAATCAGTTAGGGTGGCTTTTAAAAAATGATTTTTTTTCAGTATGATTTACCAGCTTTTAATTTTAAGGATTATTTTAATTTTGATCCCCTGTGGTTATCTAGTTTTGTTTACATTTATGACTTTTCAAAATGTTTTTTGCCCTTTCTGTGAATTTGAGCCTGGTGGATGTGCTTGTACTATGTCTTAGCTTGTCCTCTTCAGTAACTCCTCTTTTCTTTAAAGCTTTCTAGTTTGTCCTTTTTCCTATCTCTGTTAAAATAAGTATCTTACATTCTGAGCAGACAAAAATTAAGGGGAATTATATTTTTTAGTTTTCCTTTATTTTCCTGTTATTACTATGCCATACTGAGTAAAATATATTAAACTGTGTATACTATGTAGTCTTTCGATGGACAGTGAACACTGCTGGGTCTTCTGTCTTGGTCGGTATATTCTTTAATTATATATAATAGACTTTTTGAAGGGAATTGTTTTAATGACACTTTTACCCCCAAATATAGGAAGTTCACAAATGGGTGCTACCATAGTAGATGCTTTGGATACCCTTTATATCATGGGACTTCATGATGAATTCCTAGATGGGCAAAGGTGGATTGAAGACAACCTTGATTTCAGTGTGGTGAGTATAAAATTGATAGTTAATCTTTTAGATTCACTATGAAAAGGCATTTTCTTATGGCTAAATTCATATGTTGGTACCCAGTAGTAATGTGATGGTATTAGAGGGTAGAGCCTCATAAAAGAAATTAGTGCTCTTATACAACAGCCTCCACTGTGAGGACATAGTGAAAAGGTACCGGCTGTGAACCAGAAAGCGGGCACTTAGAAGATAATCTCCTGAGACCTTGGTCTTAGACTTCCTATCCTTCAGAACTGTGAGAAATAAATTTCTGTCAGCTACCCGGTTTACGGTATGTTGTGACAGTATGTCTAGTGGCCTAAGATAGTATTACAGTTTTAAGCATGATATTAGCAGTTTAAAGAAATCTGAATACTAAATCGTCTTTCTTCTCTCAGTAGTTACTTTTTTGCATAAAACATACACCTTTTCTTATCTTCATTTTACTTTTTTTGTCCTTACACTTGCAACATTGTGTTGAGTGTGTTATGGCAATAATTGTGGTGGTGATGAGGAACAGTGAGATAGAAACATCAAAAAACTATAAACTCCTTTATAAATAATAAGTTGGATTTTTATAGATTTAATGATTTGATACAGTTTTAATGAGCCATCATATTTAGGCCAGTGCCCATCCTTCCATCACTTTGGTATTGTGATACTGCTTAGGTTTGAAGCCCAGCACAGCTACATTATAGCTGTTTGGCTTTCAGAAGATTTCTTATTTTTTCTAAACCTATCAAAAAATTGTTACCCCATTGTAATACTGTGAGAATTACTTGAAATAATCTGGTATAGAGTAAGTGCTATGTACATGATAGCAATCATTTTCATGATTACTGGTCTTTACCTAAAAGATATATGGACTGTTTTGTCATGCTCATTTATTATCTTCCATGGTGTCTGTGCTAGTTGTGTTCCTTTTGACCATAATACCTTCCACTCCTCTCTGTGCTTGTCTCTCTGGCACCCTTCATTATTTACATTGTGACTTAAAACCATATTTATTTCCTTTCTCATGGTTTTCCTCGTGCTAACTAGACAAAGCTGTTTATCTTCTTTTGTTATTCTAGCATTTTAATGCTAGACATTCATTGATTTATCTTAATTAGAATAATTTTTATCATGTTTAAGTTTGACAGTGAGGGACAGAAAACCTATATAACATAACTGAAACAAGATAGATGTTTATTTATCTTTCATGTAAGTCACGTACAGAGGTAAGCAGTACTTTCATTATGAAGGACCTAGGATCCTTCATCTTACTTGCTCTGGTCAACTTCAGGTTGTGTAAAAGTGTGACCTCATTGGTTAAAAAATCGTTTCTCAAGATCTAGGCCTGTCCACCTTTCAGTTGGTAGAAATAGAGATATGTGACTTTTCATTAAGAACACTTAGGAGTTGGTCACCTAATCTTGCTTGTATGTCATTGGATAGATTTTCATATGGCCCTACCTCAGGGTACAGAGACTGTAAAAAATGTAGTCTTTTTTTTTTGGTGTAGTTATGTAGACATTACAGATTGTGCTTTTTTTTTTTTAATACCTAGTATATGAGATTTTTACTATTAAGTCCATAAGAATATATTCTTTTGAGAATATTCTTACATTTTACTTAGAGAAACATTTTACAGTTTTGCTTTCACATTTAGTCCTTAACCTATATTGAACTGAGTTTTTTGTATGTAGGGCGAGATAACTATTGGTTGATCCTAACACCACTTTTTCTCTCTTATTTATACCATAATATTTCCCTCCTATTATGTATACCATATATTAATTATATGAATTTGTTCTTTTGCGTTGGTTTTTTTTGGAGGAGGTACTAGGCATCGAACTCAGGACCTTGTGCTTACCAGGCAGATACTTGTGGCACTGATGTATATCCCCAGCCCAATTGACTTTTATCTTTATCCTTGCATCAGTACTAAATAGTCTTATGTATAGTATCTATATATGCATGTATGTGTATATGTATGTATTTTTTTGTTTGTTTTTTGAGTTAAGGTCTCACACTGTTGTCTAGGCTGACAGTGAACTCCCTGTGCACAAAAAGCTTAATACCTGTGTCTGACTTAATAGCTGAGATTGGTCTGTGAGAAAATTATTCTAGTTTTTAGCCCTTTGTTCTTTCAAACTCTGGAAAACTATTGAAATTTTCATGAGCATAGCTTTTAATTTGCGCATTAATTTGGAAAGAATTGGCCATTTATATAATATTAGATACTACCAGGTACAATTTAAATAGAGGATTTAATGTTTCCTCTTCTAGTTTGTTCTTCACCCATTTCTATTCATTTTGGGGTTACTTTTTAAAGTTTTATGTAGCTACTTATCAAAGTTGAAAATTACTGTAATCAGTTTCCTTATCCTTCTGAAGAACTAAGGATCTTGGAGTGCTTTAACTTAGTTCATATCTCTTGTCTTATGTGTACTGTAATTGTGACTTAGTTGGTTGCAAATTGTATTTAATATTTCAAATTATGTAATGAATAAATAAATACATTTATTGAATACCTTCTCTGCAACAGGAACTGTTCTGGTTCTGTGGATGTAGTAATGAATAATACAGAAACATATCTCTTGAATTTATATTCCAGTGTTGAGAGAAAAACATTGCACAAGTACTGTTGTATAATATGTCAGATGGTGGTAAGTGCTGTGAAGAATAATGAAGAAAATAGGATTGAAATAAGTGGTGGTGGGGCATTGCCAATATACGTGGGGTAGCTTTTGAACAACTGTTTGTTAAGGTGACATTTCTAAGGAGAGACTCAAGGGAGATCGTATGTATGGATATAAGGCTCTCTCTTAATAGATACTATAGTTGAGAATAGAATTAGAGTTTATTTTCTCAGGCTCTTCAGGTCATGGCTAGTTGTCTTTCTGTTTCTGCTATGCTGTTATAAAGTATACTATTAGTCTCATTTTGAACAAATAATCTGTTACTGTTTCCATGTTTTCCTTTTTACTATATTCTGCATTTCTATTACCATGTGTCTGTGTAGATTATTGTTTAAAAAATTCATAATGTTTCATCATACTGAGGATTTATGTTTTCATCAGCTTCAGAAGATCTTAAGTCATTACTTCTTCCAGTAATGCCTTTTCCCCATTTCTCCCCTTTCCCTCTAAAACTTCGTTTTCTCTAGTGAGGGAAGATAGTAATTTTAAAAGTAATTATATAGTAATCAGATTATTATAAATGGTAAATGGGGAAATGATGAAGGGTAAAGGATACTAGTGATGGGTGATTACTTGTATTGGGTGGTCAGAAAAAGTTTCTGATGAGATTGTATTTTTCAGAGGACTGTAGGAAATGATAGTGATTCATACAGCTAGATGAAGTATAGTCAGCCAGAGCAGAAAATAACAAGTATAAAACCTGATATATAAGTCTTAAGTTGGCCATTCTGGGTATAGCAAATAGGTCCATAGAGTGAATCAAAAGTATTTTAGTAGGAGAGGTGTCAGAAAGGCCGCGGCAATCTGAGTATATTTTGTCTTACCGGTCATTTACTGTTGAGTGTAACCAGAGACCATTGTAAAGGTTTGCACAGAGTAATGACCTGCTGAACACCCCTCCCCCTGCCCCCGCAGCGGATTCAGGTCTCCTACCCAGCATTATGCCACATGGATGCAAAATAAAGACAAAGAGAGAAAGTTCTACAAATGAGGAGCTGTGGGATGACCCAGTGCTCTCTATGGAATAAGGGGCCATGAGTCCAAAAGCTCATGGCTTTTGTTGGTATCAATCAGGGAGGTGGGTAGGGAAGAGAAACTTTGCAAGCATTGGCTATAAGGAGAAACAGAGCAGTTTTGTACCCAACACAGAGGCCCTTGAATTAGCAATGCAATGGTTAGCTTGATGTATGCAAGGCTGGCACCTTTACTGCCAAGAAGATACAGTTCTTTTAAGTCCCGTGGCCTTATCTGAGATGTTATCTTATGTCTTAGCCCTAAAATCTCACAGGCTGTTGCTGGAGCCCCCATCCCAGTCATCAGCGGGATGGGGGGGTACAGGGTGGGGCATGGGGGAGTAGTCTCACTCTCGTGCTGCAGTGAGACACACTGGTGTCTCAGCCAGACATGGTTGATGATCTTTTGGCCAGTTAAGGGAACATCTGCTTCTATGTAGCTGGCTCGGTATATCTCAGTGAGTAGGGCTGAAATAAAGGTCAGGTAAACATTGAGGCAAGGGGTTCATTTCTCACAAGAGCACAACTTAGTGGTCTCCTACAGTGACCTAAACTGATATGAAATTTAAAGACTCATTTTAACCATAAGAGCATTGAATGGAATGTAGGGAGGGAATGGATGAAAGCAGGAAACTAATTTGAAAGTTATTTGTACACTTCTGATGAGTGATAGAGGCTGTGCTGGATTGACAGCTAGTGGTCAACTTATAACCCCCAGCTGAACTGAGTAAGCATGGTGCTGGGTGTGGGAGGCCCACCTGCGGATTGTTGACAGCAGCATAAGAGGCAAAACTGGAGAAGTTAGGCTGTTGGAAGCTGGTAGAAGCTGTAAGGAGCTGTTGGTTCTGTTGGAGAAGCTTGTCATGCTGGCTTTCCTGATGAACTTGGCTGTTTTCATCCTCTGAGGAGCTCAGAACCTTGACGGCATTGAGAATAGTTTTAGTTCCCTTTGGGAGAGCTCTGGTCCGTCCTTTGAGCATCGCTTCCTGGCTCATGGAGGGGAAGATGGTGCACTGCCAGTCTCGGAGAAGCTTGCCGCATTGGCTTTCCTGATGGAAACTCAGCTGTCTTCATCATCGGAGGAGCTCAGGACCTCACTGTTGCTGAGAATGGCTTTTCTTGGGAACTTCGGTTCTTGTTTTGAGCATCGCTTCTTGTCTTCAGTGTAGATCCCTGATCCTGCTAGTGCAGATCCTTCATCCTCCGGCACAGACTTTCTAGATTCCACCATTGACCTTTGGGCCTTCCCAGTGCAGATTCGTGAAACAGGTCTGCATGAGACATTGTTATGGGCTCTAGATCTTCAGCTAAGCTCATGCAGAACATTATCATGAGTCCCAGGCCATCAGCTGGAATTCTTGGTTGTTAGTGGGTAGGCAGATTTTCTGCACTCTCTTGTATATGATTCTTTGAGTGACTATTTTAAGTAATCTTATAAAATAAGTGTCCTGTATTGTATTGTTCCCCTTGCGAAAACCCCAAACCACAACAGAGGCCCACTCTATTTTTAGTGAATGTCTAATAGGAGCCCTACAGTAGCTATAGGTTGGGAATACTGTATATTACACATTTTGGTTTTAGGATAGGGTGAGATGAATACCATGTTACCAAAACTTTGTATCATAAAAGTTGTCTGTTGGAAAAATTACATTTGTGCTAGTAAATGTTTTCTGCCTGTGTATATTAGGAAGATCTCAGAGTAATTCACTCTTTCCTTTTTTGATAAAAATGAGTTGTGAACGTTATTTTTATGTTAGTCACTTGGTATATTTTGTGGATTGTTTGGTTGTATTCTGCCACTTCTTTTCTTTTCTTGTTTTTAGAATTTTTCCTGATGTATGTATCTATTTTCATACCTAAATAGGAGCACATAGACTCTGTTGTATATAGTAACATATGTAAATTATTTTTTTTGTTTTGTTTTGTTTTTTTTTGGGTTTTTCTCCGGTACCAGGAACCGAACTCACGACCTTGCGCTTGCCAGGCAGGCGCTTTTGCCGCTGAGCTAAATCCCCAGCCCCTAACATATGTAAATTATTAATAGTAGGTTTGTACCAGTTACTGTCAGTTTGTTTGCCTTTTGTTTTGTGCATGATTTTTATTCTTAGCAATAGCTTGCAGTTCAGGGAAATTTCATGTCTGTCATCAGTTTGTTGCCAAAACTACAGTGCTTAGTTTATGCTTCCACAGTACCTGCTTTCTTAAGGAAGTTTCAGTATTGTTACATTTTCTTCTGTTTATTTTTTTACATTTCTGCATCATTTGTTTTTCATTTTGATATGTATGCGATGTATCTACACTAATTTCTTAACCTAACAGCCAGTTTTATCAACATGCGGCAATCTAATTCCACCATTTTTTGGCTTCTCATTTAACATGTATATGTATATGAATATGTGTATGTATATGTGGAAAAATATGTATTAGGAAAATATTTAAAATTCTTGAGAAGAGAAATAAAAATCATGCTGTAATGGTTAGCAGGAAAAGGATCAACAGGTAGAGTACTGTTCGAGAATTCAAAATCCAGTGTTGGGAGGTTGGGACAGTAGTCAACAGTATTAAATGTATTAATTTCACAGTGCTGTGTAATATATGTGAAAATGGCCCATTGGTTTTGGCGATAGGAAACTAGTAATAGAGGAGTTTGAATAACATTAACAAATGGGAGAAGAGGTGCAGTTGCACGAGAAGTAAAGTTGTAGAAACTGAAAAAGTATTCTTACAGAGTGTGAGAAATGATGTATTGGAAATATTTCAAAAAATTGTAAAACATGTATTTGTGAATATTTTTGATATGTTTTCACAGAATTCAGAGGTGTCTGTGTTTGAAGTTAACATTCGATTTATTGGAGGACTACTTGCAGCATATTACCTTTCAGGAGAAGAGGTGAGAAAAATTAAGTCATATATTGCTTGCTTTGAGGGGAGGAATTACAAGAGGAATTTAATAAAGTGAAATTTTATTTCCCTAGCAACATACTGCTTTTTGTAACTTGAATATTATTGAACTAATGTAAACATTTGCAGATAGTATATGTTGCTTCAGGTGGAACTGTTTCTTCAGAATAATGATTTTTATGTTTTTGAGAATCTCAGTAAAACATTATCAGAGACCCCAACCCAGAATGATTCTTCTCCAGGATTTTGAAGTTGCAGTTAACCGTATGGTTCAAACAAAGAGGGGAAAGAAACTTACTAGACCAAAATTAAAGACTGAATTAAGAACACAGATCCTCCTGTGACCAAATATTAATTTTTAAAACTTCATGTTTGGAAGTTGCATGCAAGTTACTGTTGTAAAAAATAATTTAAAATAGTACAACTCTGAATTGTCCTTTCTGATAGTCTCAATACAGTATACATGGGCACACTTTTGAAACCTGTAGTGATGGGAAAATGAAAATGGATGAAGGATATTTTATTACTGAAGTGGTTTAAAAGAAATAAGGTTGGAGAGTGAAAGAACTAAAAAAGAGGTTATTTCTGTTTGTATTTTGCTTTTGAGAAGCTGCTTTGCTCGTATTTTTAAATTGGTTTGTTGGTCTAAGTTATTTGTAACAGTTCTAAGTTTGTGAAGACTCATGTTTTCTTATATATGTATATTATAAACATATATTTCTTCTTGTTTTTAATTTTGGAAGAGTTTCATCTCTTTTTGCAGTTAACTTTATTTATTTTAGTTAGGTCAGGGTAATTATGGTTTGTATCTAGATGTCCCATCAAAGCCTCATGCAATCATGGGGGCGGATTTCTAGAGTTTGTGGTTGATTTATGGTCCATTGCTGGGATTATGGGTGTGAGTGCTACATCCAGTAGCCTGCATACAATATAAGGGAGGGAAAGAGACTTGCTTACTCGCTCTTCCCTTTTTGCTGTTGCTTCTTTTGCTATCTGCTGGCCTTCCTAAACTTGCTTCTCTGCTACGCTGTTCTGCCTTGGACTGATTATGTACTGAAACCTCCATAAACTGTGAGCTAAATAAGCCTTTCCTTCCTTAATTTTGGGCATTGATTATTTTGTCTCAGCAGTGAGAGAAAAGTAACCAATAGTAATGCTTGCTTCCAGAAATGAGTTTGTGAGTGTTCCTTCTCTTTCAATTTCATTAAAAAGTTTGAGGAATAGTGGCATTAAATCTTTGTTAAAGTTCTTGTAGAATTCATCAGGACCTGGGCTTTTCTTTGTTGGTAGTATTTTTTTCACTTCACTTTGACTGATACTTGCTCATTTAGAATTTTTATGTGTCATTGATTTGGTTTTGGTAATTCATATATATCCATGAATCTGTCCAATCCTTTTACATTTTCCATCTTATTAGAGTATAGGTTCTCAAAATAACTATTGATGATTTGGATTTCTTCACGATCTGTTGGCGATTTCACCCTCTTCATTTGTAATTGGATGGATTTGAGTCTTTTTTTGATAAGGTTGACTAAAGGTTTGTCTATTTTATTGAATGTTTCAAAGAACCAACTCTTTAATTCTTTGATTTTTTTTTTCCCTTTTGTAGTGTTTGCTTAGTCTCAGGTGCATTAATTCCTACTCTAACCTTCATAATTTCCTCCATTGAATGCTCTTTGGGTTAACTTGCTCTTCTTTTTCCAGAAGCTTGAGGTTCAACATTAGGTTATTTACTTGAGCTCACTCGTTTTTTCTGATGTGAGAATTTTACGCTATAAATTTCCCTCAGAGGAGTGCTTTCATTTCATCCTGTAAGTTCCGGTATGTTGTATTGGCATTATTGTTTAATTCTAGAAAGTTTCCATATTTTTCTTCAGTTTCATCTGTGACCCTTTGGTTGTGTTCAGGAGGGTGTTATTTAATTTCCATGTGTTTATGTAGCTTTTGGTTTCTATTGCCATTTATTGCCAATTTCATTGCACTATGATTTGATAATGTGTGGGAGTGTGTTGGTTTGGGGATTACTTGCAATGGGAAACAATATAATACAGGACACATATTTTATAAGATTATTTATAATAGTCCCCCCAAAAATGATATACAAGAAAGTGTAGGAAACCTGTCCACGCACTAAAACCAAGGAATCTAGACTAGGGCCTATGTCCCATAGAATTGTCCTGCTTGAGTCCAGCTGAAGACCTAGAGCTCATAACAATGCCTCCCACAAATCCAACTGGAGGCCTAGAGTCCTTGACAATATCTCACGTAGCCATTTCACGGATTTGCGCTGGGAAGGACCAAAGGTCAGTGGTGAAATCTAGAAGGTTTGTGCCAGGGGGATGAAGGATCTGTGCTAGCAGGATCAGGGATCTACACTGGAGCCAGGAAGCTACATGCAAAGTAAGAACCAGAGCTCTCCCGAAAAGTACCATAGCAATCCTCAGCAACAGTGAGGTCCCAAGATCCTCCAGTGGTGAAGACAGCTGAGTTTCCATCAGGAAAGCCAACACAGCAAGCTTCTCCAGGAGACTGGCAGTGCACCATCTTCTCCTTTGGAGCCAGGAAGTGATGTTCAAAGTGAGAACCAGAACTCCCTAAAGTGAACTGAGGTTATTCTTAGCGCCAACAGGGTCCTGAGATCCTCGGAGGATGAAAACAGCAGAGTTTATCGGGAAAGCCAGCATGACAAACTCCTCCAACAGAACCAACAGCTCCTTACAGTTTCTACCAGCTCCCAGCAGCCTTTCACCAGCTCCCAACAGCCTTACTTCTGCAGCTGTGCCTCTTATGCTGCTGGCAACAATCCTCAGGTGGGCCTCACACCCAGCACCATGCTTACGCAGTTCATTTGGGGGTTATAAGTTGACCACCTGTTGTCAATCCACTTACAGTCTACCCCGATCAACTTAATAACCATACACATTTCCTTAATCAATAGTCTCTTGTGGCAAATTTGTGAAGATTAACATGTCTTGGTCTATTTACATTTACAGTAATATAACATTTATATATATACAATTCTCTTTTATCCAGTTCTGCCTGTTATGCTGCTAACAACAGCTCTCAGGTTTGCCTCCCACACCCAGCACCATGCTTACTCAGTTCAGCTAGGGGTTATAAATTGACCACCAGTTGTCAGTCCACTACTGGGATAATTTCAGTTCCTTTGCATTTACTTACGAATGTTCTACCAGCTAGTATGTTTACTGTTGTGGAGACAGTTCCTAGTACAGCTGTGAAGAATGTGTATTGCTGTTGTGAGGTGTATAAACTATATTTGTTCAAAGGTTTGGTTGAGCTCTAATACTTCCTTGTTGATTTTTTTCATCTAATTGGTCTATTTGTGACAGTGGGGTACTGATGGCCTCCATTACAGTTCTGTTAGTGTTTATTTGATTTTTCATATCTATTAATATTTATTTTATGTAATTGGGTGCACTGATTTATGGTGTGCATATATTTAAGATTTTTTTATCTCTTCCTCTCGAATTGTTCCTTTAATAAGTATATTATGACCTTCTTTGTTTCTTCTGTTCAGTCTTGCCTTGAAATCTACTTTGTCTTCAAATAGAATAGCTACTTCTGCTTCTGGGTTTCTGTTGAATAGAGTATTGTTTTCTTTCCTTTGACTTTCTGTGAATTTCTTTTTGAGTCACATGTGTTCTTTATATGCAGCATATTGTTGGATATTGTTTGTTCATCCATTCTTCCAATATGTTTCTTTTGATTTGTGAATTTACATTAATGGTTATAACTCATACGTTTTGACTTACCCTTATATTATTTTCCTATTGTTGGTTTCCTTTCTTTCCCCTCTTTAATTGCTTGCTTAACATGGTGGATTTATTCTGTTAAGATTCATGGAATTGTTGTCTTCATTGTCTTTTTCTAGGTTAGGTTCAGAATTTTTTGGAGTGCTGGTTTGGTGGTTATGAATTTCTTCTGCTGTTCTTTATTATGGAAGTATCTTATTTCTCCATTAACTTTGGAAGATAATTTTGTGGGGTACATCAATCTGGGTTGGAGGTTGTTTTCTTTTTTTTTTTTTTTTTTGGTTTTTCTCCGGTACCGGGAACCGAACTCAGGACCTTGCGCTTGCCAGGCAGGCGCTTTTGCCGCTGAGCTAAATCCCCAGCCCCTAAGGAGGTTGTTTTCTTTTAGGGCTTGTAATAGTTCACTTCAAGCTGTCCCTGTCTTGCAAGTTTATGTAGCAAAGTCTGCTGTCACTGTGATGCGCTTTCCTTTGCAGGTGATTTATTTCTTTTTTCTAACAGCTTTTAATGTTGTATTCTTGTGTTGAATTTCTGGAATCCTGTTGTATACCTTGGTATAGTTCTTTTTCTGATCATGGCTGATTAGAGTTCTGTATGCTGTACTTTTCTGTGTGAAATTCTTTTTCCATGCTTGGGAAAACTTCTGCCATTACTTGTGTGAACAGGCTTTTTGGTTTCTTCTGATTTTTCATTAATTCTGACAAATCTTACGTTCTTTTTTTTTTTTTCTTTTTTTGGATTATCTTAACAGCTATTAGATTGATTTTTTTTGTGGTCTCTTGCTATTTTTAAGAAGTCTTTCATTGTGTCTAAAAGACACACACAGTCTTCTAGATCTGATATTCTGTCCTCCCATTGATTGATTCTGTTGTATGTACTTTCAGTAGAATTTTTGATCACTTTTGAATCTGTTTCATGGATTCCAGTTCTGTCTTATGTTGGACATTCATGATTTTCATCACTTTTCTAAGCTCCTCAATTTTTTTTTTTTTTTTTTTACCTGCATCTACTGTAGATTTACCACCCGTATCCTTCATTATAGCCATTTCTTCAGTTACTTGGAAATTATTTCCAACTTTTGTTTTATTTTGTTTTTTAGATTCTTATTTGTCTGCTTTGTTATTTTCCCTGCTGTGATTTCAGAAAGTTCAATTGGGTACCTTTTGATTTCTGCCACCTCATTGGCCCCTGGATTTACCCTAGGCAAGGTGGAGGC